TTGAATTTTTGGTAAAAATCAGCGACCCGAAAACCCCCTAGATAAGAATTAGTGTAAAAATTCATCAAAGCGTATTTGGTTAACTGCTTTCGTCCAGCTAGATTTACGATTCAAAGAAAGAGCAACGGCTGCCACCGCACATCAGCAGCCGCTCCGGGACGACCGCCATCGTGGCTGTAACAACAACACCGGCTGCCACAGCAGCGTTGGTCCAATTGGACCAAAATTGGTAGCTTCATTATCCTTTGGTAGTTTGGTTGGTTTGACGAAGCTTTTGGTAGGCAAATATGCTTTTAAAAGTCAATCAAATTGAGCATTAAAATTTATTCATTTACTTTGCGTTTACACGTTGAAAACATTGCTTTCACTTTGCTCACACGTATAAGTTTTCTTTGTTTTTTCTAAATTTTAGTAAGCACACAATTTTCTGCAAACAAAAACTGGCTTCCCAAAATATGATCGATCTGCTGTTGAAATTTAGCGAAAATTTGCCTATCGTCTTGAAAGAAATAATATTGATAGGCAATTTGCAAAGCGTGAGTGTATGCAAATCGAAAAAAAATTTTTAATTTTTTATTGAAATACATAAAATGTCAGATTTTGTTTTTTCAAACATAAAAATTTTTTGATATGAACTGAATTGTTCTCAAAGGTATTTGCATTTTTTACAAAAGTGTTCTACGCAATACGTTAATTCTTTTATTTAAAAGCCTGAATTTGTTTTTTTTAACCTTAAATATTGGTATGAATGGTTAACCAACACCGTAAACAATATTATACTGTAAATATGTGTAGCTAAAAACCCCGTAAATTCAAGAAATTTCGTTTTAATGATGAACAAAAATTTGGTAGTTTGAAAACTGATTTGGTACCTAAAAATAAGCTCAAGTGGCAACACTGTGCTACAGTAGGAGCGACAACGAAAAACAACCACCATCGCACGAACGACAACGGCAGTGCCTCACACAAGCCTGATGTAACGGTGGGTGAAACTTGAAATTTTTCAAGGGAAGTAAAACCAACTGAAATAATTTAGGATAGAAACAGAAAATCATGTAACAAAGCAACAACAAAAAACACCAGAGAAACTCCGAATAACGAAAAAAATTATTTGGAATGTATAAAGCTTAAACCTTAACTAAAGACGTCCGATTATAGTTGCGTTCGATAACAAAATTAGCCAACACCAGCCAACAATCAAAATCAAGAGAGTAAGCGAAAATTCTCTCCCCATGAGATGGAAAAGCAAAAAAGTAAACGAACAGAAAATTAGCCATTACTTGCAAAAACCGGAAGAAGAAGACACACCAGCTGACTTTGTTTAAGTTTTATTTGTAACCAAACTGAAATTGATGTTGCCTCCATAGCGAAAAAAGGAAAGTGAACGTTCAATGTTCGCCAGGAACATTTCTAGAAGTAAAAACTAGTTGGTGCTATCATAAAGTCACATAGCAGGCAGCCAAAAAGCATATAAATACTAAAACTCGGAAAATGCAATTTTGTTTGTTTACAAAAATTACAACCATATGTTTTGTGATCATATGTTTTCGTGTTGGATAATTTTTGCCGAGTAAAATTTTGCCAGTACAAAATGAACGCTCCTCTTGCATCAAAATGAACGCTTGCTCTCTCAATTTTTGTGTGTTGGATAATTTTTTGTCGTTATCGAACGCCATCCAGTAAAGATTTGGATAAACTATTACAAATTTTTGACTTGTCGAACGCACCTTATAAAAATGTTATAACAAACCACCGGTACTTTTTAAAAGGACTTTACTCTTTTAAAGGGACTTTATAATTTCAAAGATAAAAATTCAGTAATTCATAAATATGGGTCCAACATGAAAGAAAAAATTCTGTAGAATTTAAAGATTAAAATTTTTTGGGTTCACAAGGACGAACTGGTAATGAAAATGCCCTTTTAATAAATTTTAGGTTGTAGGTGTTCTGACCACTCCCGAAATGTAGCGTCTCCGATAAAAAGTATTAGTTTTTTTGAATTTTAAACTTGAAAAAGGCAAAATAAGCTTTGGAAAAGGCAAAAAAACTTTATTTTTAAATCTTGTTATGTACAATGTGCATGTCCAATAAAATATATATAAAAAAAAATAAATACAGTGGTCAAAATATTTTAGCCGAATAACTTTTTGGCAAGTTTTAACATATTATTTTAGTTATTTTTTTCTTTAACAAAACCCGTGTAAATCCAAGTTACCAACTTTGTGCAATATTAAAAAAATTCAGCTGACCTTCGTACAAATTTCGAACTTTTTTAAAAATTCTAAAAAATCAACCGTACTTTTTAGCCATTTGAAACTTGTACTTTATTCCACTAGAATTCAATCGGCTACAAACTAATTAAAACCTCGAAATTTTTACGAAAATTCGCTTAATCTTTTCTTAATTGCATAAATTTTTAAGGCAGTGTTACTCGATTGATACATTTGTACACATTTGTGCATTTTTATACCGGGCTATTGATACAAATTTAAAAAAATTTGACTTTTTTTGTAATCAAAAGCTTGGTACAATACAGCAATATTTTATTGAAAAAATTTCAACAAATTATTTTTGGTGATTGGTGTAAAGAAAAATATTTGGGTATACACACAGTTGGGATACGATTTGCACCAAATTCCGGCGAATTCCCACTGCCTTTAAACTTGTTTTTATACGGATGTTGTTAAAGAATGAACTATAAAAAACTAACCAAAATTAAATAACAACAGCAATAATATTTTAAAACTTGTCAAAATTAGGTGCGGTTATTATTTTTTCGACTACTGTACATAAGTTGACTACGATTACTCGGCCGTGCTATCATAGTAGCACAGTGTCACTAATATTTCACTTACAAACAAGATACGGGCAGGAATTTCAAAATTTCAACCCTGTTTGTGTGAGATATTTTATTTTTATCATTATTTTTCTTTTAATCAATCTATGTTGAAATAAAAGTGTATGTATATACGTTTCACTGAATTTTCTAATTAATTTCTTGAGTGACTATTTTTTTTTAAAAAGATCCTGACGTCAGAGAGAACAACTAAAAACGCAATTTTACTATATTTGACCCTTGGTTTCGCAAATATACATACTGATTTTTTTGTGGGTAAAATTTACTGTCGCACGGTGTTAAAGCATAGGCAGACGCCAGCGTAGATCCGGATAAACTCGTTAATTTGGAATTATCTCGGGAATTAACTGCAGTTGATCCGGATTAAGTCCTAGAGTTAATTCCCAAACTTAAATCGGATCAAGGGAATTTTCGATGACAACACTGACCAAAACTCAGAGAGCGTAGAATACAGAGAATATGCAAAACTAGCATGGATATCGGTAATGCAGTCACCATACTAATTCAGATAGGAATTCAATTTAAATTGAATAATAACTTATTTGAATTAACACGGTGACTGCATTACCGACAAAAGGTCCATGCTAGTTTTACATTTTCTTTGTTTAAGAAAATACATAAATTGATTATATTAGTGGGATTCATGAAACTTCGTAAAGTTGTTGTAAATGTCGCGTTTGTCGCAAAATTTGGCACAGCTGATAACGGCTGCTTCGAAATATAATTGTAAAAACTTTTCTTTTCCTCTATCGCGCGGCATTTTTAAAAAATTTTATATTTGCAATCCGGAGTTGCGATAGGTCGTTAATACAACTTTGTTCGTAACGTTGCCATTTCGCCAAATATGTACTACTTAGTATGCAGTTTTTTATTTTTGAAAATGTGAATTTGGCAACATTGATTTGCTTACACATCACTATTTTTTACTTATTACCGGGTTTTACACGGTTCAAGTATTGAATTCAATTCTGCTTGCTTGGGAAGAAAAGGGAAGAGTACATATACGTCTGTACCGTCAAGTGGTTTCAAGGTTCTTCCTTTGCTTTTGACATTTTCGTTGTTTCTCAACTAAAGAAGCAAAAACTGGAATTTAACAAAATTTAAGCGAGCAAAGGCAAATAGAAAACACAAAAGAGAATGAACCAGAATAGCTTTAAAGTACTTGGATCATGTAAATCGGGTGTAATTAAATTTAAAAAAACCAGTTTGAATATCTTTTTTTACAAGCGATTTGCTTTTCTACGATTCGGGAATTTTGGGTTTTTATATTATCGGTTTAAAATATTTTAAAACTCGAAGAAAAAGGACAAAGATACTGAAAATCGCTATATGTATAACAATTAGGTTCTTCTTCACTAAAAATTTTATATAAATAGCTTCGTAAATGTATTTTAAAATTATCCGATACTATCGATAGTTTATATGCAAACTATACGAAACATCGAATGGGATGATGATTATCGATAGTTTAACAGCTCTACTTCGTATTACAAGCCTGAAGGTCCCAGGTTCGATCCTCGGTTGGAGGAAGGAGGAGGTTGCCAAAAAATTTGGTTTTTATTATTTCTTTTATTTTGTTTAATTTTATTTGATTTATATATTTAATTTTACCTTATTTCCTTTTCGTCTGTTTTATTATATTTCACATTTTTTATATTAATTTTAATTAATTCGAATTTTTAGAGTTTATTTTGACTAAAAAGTCAAAAACAACGTCAAAAAAATATAGAAGCTATAATTGAATGAATAAAAAGATATTAAATGAATATTCTACTGGCCATGGGACTCGAACCTACGACCTCGCGGCTCGTAAATCCGCATTACTGCCATCTGTCAAGGCACAATTTTTATCAGATCAATTGCGCCGTTAATCCGGATCAACGTTGCCGTCTGTCTTTGCTCTTATATGCATAATGAGCTACTCATTTATACAAAATATTAAATATTAAATAAATAAAATAATTACAGCCAAACCAGGTCAATAAAGGGAGTTTCTATTATTGCCACCAGTGCAAATTACCAATCGCGAAAATCTTCGGATTGCAAAGGTACACTTGTATTTTATAATGTTTTGATTGCGGCTAATTTTTTTATGCACTTAGTTCAATGTATTCATAAAACTTTCAATTTGCTTTGCACTTACAGACCACAACCATATCACCATGTTCGGTGACAGTCTGGAAAGATGGCGCTTCACCGGAAACTTCGCAACGAAAACGACCCGTGGACTGCATGTTTACATTGCTCAACATCACGACGGCATCACTGGAATTTTGGAGCTGCAAAGAAATTATAAATAATTTTCATTGAACACCAAATAAATTAAACAAACTCTTTGGGAAATAGAGAAGTAAATACATAAGTGCTTATTACAAAACTTTAAGTACTTATTAAAAAAATTAAGGGTATTCATCAATCCTTATAAAAGCATTATAAACCGTATAAACGTATAATTGTGTAAACTTTGTAAATTAACTGTCAATATTTGTATGGACACTCGTTGACACATTTCTGATAAATTTCCCCAACGATTTAATTGAATAATCTTTGTAAACTGAAGCTAATGCAACTCTGTCGCATATGTAAAAGAAAAGATAGTATGGGCGTTCATGTAACAGAGTGCTTATCCGAAAATTTATTGAAACGCATCGCTATAGTAATCAGCGCATCAGAAACAAAATTGATGCTTCGTTTATTTTTGGTTGCGATTGGTGGTAGGTATTAGGTATGTAGTAGGCTACGAAAAAATAATGCCAAAATTCCATCACGTAATTTTTTCGAGAAAATTGATTTTACTTAATGCTACCGCGTGTTACTAGCGTTAACTTGGAATTTCTTTAAGTCTTTCTAATGTACGTACACTAAGGGAAATAATGCATAATAAAAATGCATACTTTATATTTGGTTATCGTTTAAAAATGTTCGTATTTAAAAATAATATTTTCATAAAAAAATTTATTTGACTCCATGATTCAATAAAGGTTCGATAAACTGACAGTTGTCTCTCTCTCGCACCGCTCCCTTAACAGTGGCACCGTGTTGCTTCTTTGCAAATTTACTTGAAAAAGTGTAGCTTTGCTGCGAAATAGAAGTATATGCTTTTGTGCAATACGTTTATTTTTATATGAATATGAAGCACATTTAGCTGATGAAAACATAACATATTTTTAAATTGGATGTTTACATAAATCTCATAGTCGTTTTATTTCNTGTTTATTTTTATATGAATATGAAGCACATTTAACCGATGAAAACATAAATTGTTTTTAAATTGGATGTTAACATAAATCTCATAGTTCTCTTATTTCAATTTTGAGTCCTTTTGCAGTTTTTATACAGCTAAATAGCACATGAATTACGTAATTCACGTAGATATATTAATATTTCGTTTAAAATGCCAAATTTTCTGCAAATACATTAGAATTTACAAAAGGAATTTCACTACTAATTGCCTACTTTGCGTACTTTTCTACTACCATTTTCGCAACAAGGGATTGCATTCTTCCCCTTTCTCTGTCCTTCGTAAATGCAACCTTTTGTAAGGGAGTGTCAAACCGTGGATGTCAATAATTATCTAACCTTGCATTATTGAATCATCCCAGCCAGCAAAATATCCCGAATCGTATCCGAAAATGGAAACAATTTCGTATAAAAACCTGATGTTTCATCCGTTTTCCGATTCCGTTTTCGAACGTTTTTCAGATCAATTCTCCCACTAAAGTATTCATCCGAAACGTGTGCGGAAAACTATCGAAAATGGTTGTAAAACGGATGCGCTTTCGGCTCTTTTCCTGAAATTTGTCTAATTCAATTTTTCGTCTAAAACGATTTCATTATGAACTTCACAGAAACTTTTTCATAGTTACAGGAAACCAAACAAAAAACAATTTTAAGATTCAGAAATCATTTCAATTTGAATAAATAATTTTAATGTGTTGTTTCTGACGAAATTCGAACCTGGGACCTCCTGAAAGCTAACAAATAGTAGGACACTTCTCTGCACACTCAGCTACTGGCGAATACGTATACATGTTTTCAAATGCTCAGTTTGAACAAATATTTTAAAATTATTGTTTTGAAATAAGATGATGACATTTTTCGGATACGAAAAATGAACAAATATGGAAATCGTTTTCTGAACGTTCCGGATAAGAAAAATGCACGAAAACTGCACTTTCGGCAAAAAGTACGTTTCTCTGCTGGCTGGGATGTTTGACTGTTCAAATCTGAGTATGTATAAGTAAGGGTACATACCCTGCAGAAAATCTGACTAGCCTAGAACTATCGTAGAACTAGACCTTTTGCCGACAGTACCAGTTCTAGCTCAATACCAAGCAATGCTTTCAACTGTCCAGTTTTACACGGCGATGTCATTGGCGGTGGCAATTGTCGCCCAGTAGTGAGTATTTGCAAATTTACACCGCAAGTTTCAACTGTTTCGCTCCGCATTCCTTTTGCACTAGTTCAGAGATAGTTCTGAGATATGTAGTTCGGAACTAACGCTGTCAGACTGTCTCTAAATTTTACTGCAGGGTACACATCCCCAGCATGCAGAGCGGCGACCACACATACATACATACATAGTACATCCCTGTAGTCAAATGTACTAGTTGTAAACTACCTCACAACTAGTATGAACCGCATGCCCAACTAGTCATCCAACTATCTTCTTTCCATGCAATCAACTGGTATTTTTAACATGGGGATGTCCTAGGACATGGCAATTGTCAGATTTCGGTCAGAAATATACCAGAAATATACTTTGGGAGTCAAAAAATAAAATGAATTCATGAATATACAATAAAACACTTTTGATTAAGTACACTTTAATATGTTACTCATTTTTATTTAGCAGCCTTAGATTTGCCAATAATTAGTGTGAAATTTTTTGTTGAAAATAAATTAAATTCATTCATTTTGCACATTTCAGCCATTTCTTTTTAAAATTTTATAAAAGTAATAATTTTTTAATGTTTAAAATTTGAGGTCTGGATAAGAATACAATAAATAAATAATTCAAGCAGTCATTAAATATTCTTATTTTTTGTCTATAGTTTGCCCTGATGATTAATAATAGAAATTAATCAAATAATTATAATCGTGTAATTAAAGCAAATCAAAAATAATTGCAAATTATCAAAAACAACAAAATAACGATGTAATTAAAATTAATTAATTAATTAACATTTTTTTTAAGTAATTAATTATTAATCAATAAAATCGATATTTAATCATTAAACGGTTATCCAAAAAAACATGCTTTAATTAATATTCATTATGAATATTAATCATTATTTAACAGGTCCGGTATAATTGAATACGTACTTATTGTAATAAACTGTCGAACTCAAATAAAACAGGGCATGAATAAATCGTTTTGTACTTGGTACAAGTCTGGTAATTTTCGAACTAGTAGGTTTCAGTCAGGAAATTCTTGTTGTAAACTAGTATTTTTCCTGACTAGTTGGGGGTTTCGCTGCAGGGATGTATATCCCCTGCCTTGGAAAGTACTAGTACAGAACTAGTGAGTTCACCAGTTTTCGGGAGTCGAATACCGGTACCTCGCAAATCTACCACCCATGCTTTCTACTGTCGCATTTAACATGGAGTTGTCTTAGGAGGTGACAATTGACTCCCGCTTCGTAACTTGTTGCCTGTAAAAGTACTAGGTTTTTTTCGTTGTGCACTTCACAGATACTTTTTCATAATTAAAAAAACGAAAATAAGTATCTTAAATTATATGTTCTGGCATAGCGAGATTTGAAGTTAGACACTTTCGGCCGCAACTAATTGTAGCCAAGCATCTTTGCGCACTCAGCTACAGGCACAACTCGTAAGTGTGCTTTCAAATGTTCGCTTTGAATCAAGCCAGGCGACGATTTGTTCAAATTTAAATTTGTCTTTGCTATAGTGTTTGCTATTTATTTTCCTGTGAACGAACGTTCAAAAGCTGCAGCGTGGCGTTGTTTGAAATTTTATTATTGGGCTGAACTGATTCTTGATGATAATTTTAATAAAATTGTCATTTAAACTCGCTATATCTCAGTCGTTGTGTATCGATCAATTTGAAATTTTCATACAATAAACTACAAACTAAATATTCCAAAGAATTTATGTTTAACACCACTTCTTAATGCTCAGTACAAATAATTCTACAGATTTATAACTTTTTTATGAGAATTAAGAGGGTTTTTGTTTTCAAATGCAAAAGTTGTGTTATAAAGTTTGAAATAAATTTTTTGTTTTAAAACAGTGTTGTAGATGACTATCTAGGGAAGTTTTTTGCGAAAGTTTCAGAATTAAACATCAATTAATTGCAAAGTTATAACAATATTATTATGGCTTCCTGCGCTCTAAAAGGCTTTATAATTCGGAAAGGTAAAAAAAGTCCTTTTTATTAGTGATTTATATGTAAAAAGACTTGAAATTTCGATTGAGATAACTAAAAACAACATTAAAAATTACCATAATTTAGAAAAATTGCAAATAAATTTTCGTTCAGAATTTTTGCCATGAAAATGGGAAAATTTTGGAAAACGCATAGTACCATCGTATAGCCCGTACAAAGATCTATAGAAATCATAGTTTCCGAATTATTTTTCCCATTTTCTGTCTGCTTCCTAGCTAGTCGAAAAGTAGCTTGTTTTGCACCGCTCAGGGCGCTGGGACATTTGACTTGAATTGCCCCATTTATCTATACTAATATATATTTTGAAAGCCGTTTCCATACAAAAAAAAATCAAAACCAATAACTTACTTACTAAAAAATTTTTTCTTTTAGCTTAAAATTCTTGTAACCATTTGTTGTACAAAAAACAAATAAACACAAGTTCACAAAAGTTGATATAAAGCTATACGTCGATTCAAATTGTAAACTTTTTACTGAGCATGTTTATTTTACGAGGAGGAAGCATCGAAAGCCTAACCCCGTCAGTGTGAGACTTTAACCCAAACTAAACTTCCTACCGTCATGTACCGTTCCCCTCCCGGTACCACCGTCAAGGATTTTGTCGGAATTATAACACTAGGGGTATTGTCGAAGTCTTGCACGATGTAAGGATTGCACGAAATGCAAAAATACTATTCCAAAATTCGAAGAGTACGAGAGCATCCCATTGCAAAGTGTTCGCATGCATGGGTTGCAAGCAGCAAAATTATGTATCAAATACAATAACAAGAGACAGCAAAAAAAAAATTAAGTGAGCGATATTAGAGGAATGAGAGAAATATGTAGCAATTCCAACAACAAAACAGCTACCACAGGGTCGCATTTAACTTG